TTGGCAAATATAGAGTGTCTCACACACACCCCGCATCCTCTGCCTCTGGCTCATGCTTAGGCCTGAGTCCTGACTGGGGGGGGTCCAGATAATTGGTTTGCTCTTTTGGGTGTTGACACTGATCATGCTTTATTTTGTACATTTTATTATTTTAAGTCAACCATGAGTGTTTTCATTGTTTATTGTACTTACTATAAACCACCAAGAATTGTTTGGAGTTGCAGTGGGCTATAAATATAATTAACAAATAAATACAATTGTCAGTACATTCAAATTATTTTTATTGGGTTTTAGAAGTATTGTAATTAGACTTCCTTTAAAAATAATGATATTACATATTAATAATGTAAGAATAAGAAGTGTAGACTGTTGTTAATATGTAGACTGTTAATATGTTGTTAACATGTAGACTGTCATCACAGTAGTAAAATGGCCTTTTCAGAAAAGTACCTATCTAAATTTTTTTGTGCCAGGCATCAAGCTTGCCATTTTCCTAAGCATTTCAGACAGCATGGCTCTTAATTTTGTTTTAACTCTAACTACTGTTATTCTCTGCTATCCATTTTCTTGGGTATATTTGAGCTTATTTGATGGATAAATGCTTTGAATGTTTAAACTATACTGTTTGTCATGTTGTGTTTTATTAATTGGTTATTTATATTTTGTGAGATATAAATGGAGCCCCGGGTTCTTACTGCTGCAGACCAAAGGGACTTGTTTTCACTGCTGATTTTATTTTATTTTGCTTTGGTTTGCTTAGATTTTCAGCAATCAGCATTTATTGTGCAAGTAGCCACTCACTACATTGTTCTGCTTAGCTTTTGTTACAGAAATGTGGTGCCCTTTGCCTACTAAATCCTCAGGAAAATAGAAATATTTTTGTTGCGGATTTAAGAAAAACGTGTGGACAAGTATACGTATTTGCTTAACAAATAAGTAAGGATGAGCACTTCAAAGTGCATAACAACTTACACCAAAGAGAAGGAAATTTGTTTTCAAAGAATTAACATCTGCAAGGAGACCACATAAATTAAAATATCAAAGCAATTTAACAGTTGCACTTACTTGGATAAAATGTCAGTGTCCAAGGGTGCAACAGGACAACTAGCAGTATTCATTCTCGCCATTGAATTACCCAAAGATTCTTCATTGGGAAATATTAATTGTGTGTTAAGTGCTTAGGAATTTGTTAGTTAAAATAAAAATGAAGTATATAATTGTAGTGAACTTTTTTTGTAAGAAATGGGCCATGTCTTCCTATTCTTGAATCCCTTTTTTATCCAGTGTTTTTTCTGATGATGGAATCATGAATACTTGACTTTAGCCAAAGTGAAAGACGTCTGCAGTTATCTGGATGTTATTCTGGGTTCTGTGACTCTTTGATAAGATAGCCATTCTTGGGAAGATTCGCTATAGTCCCAAATCTTCTCTGTTTCAAGATTGTGTCTCTGAATATGATCATTGGAGCCCCAGTGCTTTAGAAATGGTCTTGCGACCTTTTCCACACTGATAGGCATAATATTCCGATAGAATCTGTGTGGTCAGAACTTCACAGTGATCAGGGGAGCCAGAGTTTTGGGAGATTTATATAGGGCAGACAGCCTTAAATTTTTCTTTATTGTTCGATGAAATAACCATGCAATTGGTCCTAGTTATCGTTTTAAATGAATTGACTAATCTAGGGGTCAGTAACTTTTTCACACTTGGAATATCACGCATTGGAGGACTCTGTTTGTGAAATGAGATAAATTAAACAGTAAACTTTGCTGTTCATTCAGTGCCCCTTTATAGAACAGTAAGTCCCACATGAAACTGATAATATTCAGTAGCAAAGATATGCAAACATCCTGAAAATCCAAAAGGGAGTGAATACTTTTTCACAGTATTATAATTTGGCTTTTCTGCTGACCTTATCATTAACCCATTGAGATTACATAAGAACAAATGGCATGCATAAGGCAAAGTGAACAAACATCTCACCATCTTATTCATGTCTGTTTTGGAAAGCCCATTGCATCTTAACACCTACCGTGATGTAACCGTCTGGCAATTGGTAATAAGGGTATCTGCTGTTTCACAGCCATTCTGTAAGTCAAGAGCCTACGCACAATGGCCACTGTCATAATGTGGGAAGCTCCTTTTCTAAGCCCTTGAAAAATCCAAGTCCCCACTGTGTGGCCATATTTATTTAATTTTTTTATTTTTTTATTTATATTTCAAATTTGTCACCGCCCATCTCACTGCAGAGCGACTCTGGGCAGTTTACAATAAAAAGAATAAATATTAGTTAAAATAGAATAAATGTGCATTAAAATACATTACAAAAGACTTCCTATATAAATAAATAGGAACTGAGTGAATATCCACTCAATGACAAGTCAAGGCTTGTGTAGCTGAAGGAAATATCATATGACTGCTCCCCAGGCCCCAGTTGTAGTGATGATGTGGAATCACAAAGTGTTAATTGTCACAATATTTCTTCAACTGTGCTGTACACTTATTAAAGCTACCGTTCTGAAGTTATACTTTTGCCAGAGTTAGGCACCTTGGATTGGCTAGAATCATAATTTCTTTATAGCAGTGGTCACTCTTCTTCTACTTACATCTTCAAGTTATGTCACATGAACATACAAGGACTGTCTTCTCACTTGCCAATTGAACAGAAAATGCTGCAAGTCTGTGGCACTCAGTGAGCTTTCCTGTGGCCAGAGCAGCAAATAAAGATTCAGCTCTTATGAAACAAACTCTACTAACAAACTCCGGAAGATATTTGGCAGCAGAAGGAATTACCCCCCACCCCAAAAGATAAATTCTACAGTCCATCATCTCTCCAGTGTTTCAAAAAGCATCTATCACTTATGCGTAAGCAAGTCTAAATGAATAATTATTGCACCTTGGCACTTACTTTCTACATTTTGTTGAAGCAGGCATGCTCCTTTTCTTTATCTGAAGTCTTATTCAGCTGTAACAACAAGCCCTAATTCACTGTGATCTCTGCCTGTTAAACCAGAATTTGGTAGCACAACTACCAAACCAGACCCATAAAATGGTGACTGTCAGAAAGATGTCAAGTTGCAGTAGCGCTGATATAGAGGGAAGAGTGATCTCTCCATAGTAGAGATCCAAGTGATGCTGTCAGGGTTCTGTCTCAGTTCTTGGATGCTGTGGGATCAATCAAAGCTCAGGCAAGACCAAGAAGCTATGGATTTTGGTTCTACCTGATCCTGAAGACCTTCCATCTCTAGTTCTAAATGGGCCCACACAGCCCCAAACAAAACCGGTGCACAATTGGGAGTCTTGCTCAAGGAGCATATGGCAGCTGTGGCTGGGAAGACCTGTGTACAAATCCAGCTTGTTGGTCAGTTTTGTCCATTCCTGCATTGGGAGGCCCTGCTCATGGTCACTCACACCTTGGTGACCTCTCAGAAGCTACAACTAGTCCAGAAGTACAACTAATGAAACCGAGTGGGTGGTTATAGGAAACCATGCCATGTAAACCCCATTATTGTACAAGTTGTACTGGTTACCAATGGGCTTTTAAGTGCAAGGTGCTGTTGACACCTATACAACCCTTCATGGCATAAGGCCAGGATATTTGAGGGACCATCTATTTCTAATTATTTCTGCCTGCCCAACAAGATCAAACAGGGTTGGCATGTTCCAGGTCCCTTCTATTAGACAATGCCATTAATGCAACCCAGGACATGTGCCTTCTCTGTTGCTGGACCTGCCCCCAGGTTTGGATCACCGTCACCCCTTTGGCCCTTAGAAAGAGCTTAATGTTCTGGCTCTTCCGTAAAGCACTGGGTGAGATTGTTACAAGAGTCATTAGTATGTGCTAATATGTGTTAAATGAATTATTGATTCCAAGGTTACATATGTGGTTCTTTTTATGATTGGTATATATTTTTTATGTTTTTAACGTGGTACCATCCAGAGTTGCCATATAAAGTGGATGAATAAATAAATACCAAAGTGATATTTGTGTGAAGAATGTGAAACATTTGTGGGACGCGCTACATATCCTTCATTGCTATTAATTCTGAAGATGCAAGCTTTTGCAAAATACACCAAAGAAAAGTAATCTCTATATCCACTTTGCTTGTCCCCTCTGTAGTATGTTTCAGGAAACATAACTCACTTCTATTTTTGTTTTGTCTCAGCTTTTACAAAATAGGTAACATTAAGTATTCATTGTGGTTAGCTGAGTGATTGTTATAGGACTATAACTAGCTCTTTGAATCACACAGTCTACTGAAAGCCCTACACAGATATTCTCACCGCAGCCAGTTGACCCATTTGACAGAAAGGTCAGTTTGCAGCATGCGTAAAAAGAATGTTCAGTGCATTAAAGGCAGGCCCGGTCATGCATGTATTGCCTCCTGGCATCTTGCGTTGAGTCTTCCCTGCGTCCTGCTGCATTACCTTACCATGAGGAAGTTGTCATGAAGGAACTTACACTGAGCAAAGCATGAACTGAATAGGTATTTTCAATAACGTTCCTTGCTTGGAATGTGGGTTTTGATCAGCAAGAGGAAGATATGGACAGAACAGAAGCCCATAATGTTTGTTTGGGCTTGCTGTTCTCCAGTCTGAATTATATATATTTAATCAAAAGATAGAACTAGCTGTTCACAAAAAAATGCTGTTTGGGCACTTTATTCAACATTCATGGATGATGCGAAAATCAGTATAGAGAGAACTATTTTTTTCTTTAATTCCCATCCTGAAACGTTATTGTTTTTGCTGATAAAGAGGCTCATATTCAAGGGTCTGAGAATTTTATATCTATGAAGTTGGGTCAGGGTGAAATAGCTTGGACGATAGATATTGACGTTTTTGTTACATAATCTGTCCTTTAAGATAATCAACACAGCTTTTAATCATTCAAAGAATAATCTGATTTAGAAATTGTGTATTAAATTAAGAATACAATTATGTATTGTTATATAACATCAATTGCTAATTGTCTATATTGCTTTTTTGTTATTATTATTTAGACAATTCATGGCCATAAAGGGGCAATAACAGCGGTGGCTTTTGCTCCTGATGGTCGGTATCTTGCCACCTATTCCAACACAGATAGTCACATTTCCTTCTGGCAGGTAAGTCCCAGATATTATATTTTTATTTATTTTGTTTTACTAGATTAAATCCTTCCTTTTTCTTCACAACAAAGTTGTGAGATAAGCTGGGCTAAGAGAGAGTGACTGGCCAAAATTCATCCCGTGAATTTCTCTAGCTGAAGCTGAATGGGTCTTAATCAAATTATAATAAATAATCAAAATTAAAATGCCAAGCATATAGAAAAAGAGTATTTTTGTCCAGCATGATTTCAGTAGTCTTTGTTCCATAAGGGATTTGGGTGGGTTTTTTTCAGGGGGGGAGTGGGTTGGGTTGGGTTTGGTTTGGTTTGGTTTGGTTTGGTTTGGTTTGGTTTGGTTTGGTTTGGTTTGGTTTGGTTTGGTTTGGTTTGGTTTGGTTTGGTTTGGTTTGGTTTGGTTTGGTTTGGTTTGGTTTGGTTTGGTTTGGTTTGGTTTGGTTTGGTTTGGTTTGGTTTGGTTTGGTTTGGTTTGGTTTGGTTTGGTTTGGTTTGGTTTGGTTTGGTTTGGTTTGGTTTGGTTTGGTTTGGTTTGGTTTGGTTTGGTTTGGTTTGGTTTGGTTTGGTTTGGTTTGGTTTGGTTTGGTTTGGTTTGGTTTGAGACAGCTTTGTTATTCAGGAGACAGTAGTTAAATAGTGAGTTAATTTGATGTAATTAAAATTAAATGTAAATTATTTTGATTTGCAACCCATGCATTTATTAATTGTCTGCTTTTATCTCATTAAAAATTACAACTTGTCAACAGTGCTAAAGACCACACACAAAACCTGAGTAGGTGACCTATAAAACTGGGTTTCTGGTTGGCCCTCCTGATTTAAAGAAAAGGTTGGGACTCAGTAGATGAGTCTACAAACATTCTAGATACATTTCTATTCATTTCTATTTAGGAAGGGAAGAAAACTGCTTATCACTGTAGGCAATATGGACATAAATTCAAACTCAGACCTGGGTGATTCTCATATTCTTAGAAAATTTAAGAAGATTAACAAGAGCATACAGGTTGAGATTGTTTTGAGTTTTGTATTAGTTATCATTTCAGGAGCAAATTGCTGTTTGAAAAAGCATTTGCTTAAATAACAAACTTAATTCAAGATTTTTGTAACATATAGTGACCCTTCCTTGCAGCCCAGAAGGCTCAAAGTGAATTGGCTTCTCCATTTATTTCAATTAATGACATAGGCCCTCTGTCCATGGGCCAGACTAGTAGGGCAAATCATATTGCCAAATGCTTTTTCAGGGTATGGTGAAGGACTTCCATAAAAATCAATGAGGCCACATGTGAGAAAGTAGTTTCCTACGAATAAGCTGCCTAACTCCATATTATTTATTAAATTGCCCACAGCCAGCCCTGCCATCAGGTAGAGGGAGGCCTCTCAGATAACTAGTTGAAAGTTGGCAGTTTTGATAGTTGATATTGATTATATTTATTGATAAATGATACTTACTAAGTCTATTGTTACTTTTTTTATTGCTATAGAAGCCAGAGTAACTTAGCTAGATTTGGAACATACATACCATAACTTGGAGCAAGGTATCACTTGCTTTTCTAACTCAAACAGCAAACTATTTAGAACTAGTCCCACATGGCATCTTTTAAAATGCTTTATGAAGCCTTTTCACTAAATTGCAAAGGACAATTCTGCTCCAAGCTGTGCCAAGAGCATGGGGCGGTATTCAGTGGATTGTACAATTTAACTACAAATATGGAATAAATGCAGTGTTCAGTTTTTTTTATAATGCTGAGAACCTGAGTCATGGAAGAATATACTCCCAAACAAAGTGACTGGTGAAAGCTTTAAAAATGTAATACCATGGCCACCATATCTCAGGATGTTCCCCTACACAGCATCTATTTAAATGAATGGAGGTTATACAGACATATAGCCAAGGAATTGGAGAGGGACATCCTTAAGTGAAATGGTGCCTTTTGTTTAGAATCACTGCCTTTGTAGGTAGATAGCTCAGTGAAGGAAAAAGCTACCACAGCAGAATTATTGCTACCCTGGATTCAGTATTCCTGTAACTATCAGCCAGTAGTACATAATTTTAATTTACTATTACTTTCTGCATTAATTTGATTATAACTGCGTGTCATTAAGTGTATTGAATTATTGTCTATCATCATAGAGTGTTATTTCGGAAGCAATGAATAAGGACTGTGAAAATGCTCTTCCATCACTTGCATATATTTAGTTCAGTTACATGGGAAGATCTAGAAAGCAATCAAGCTTATTGATTGAAATGTTTTACATGATCATCTAAGATTGCAGGGGGGAGTGGCGGCGGCAACATTACTTCTGTGCAGACACATGCTTCAGCATATAAACCGCTGAGCTTAATTCTTGCTGTGAATATTTTCTTGATATTTTTTTTAATGGTAGCTTAAACAGAAAGAGTTAACATTAACCAGCATGTTACATTTATTTAAAAATGTAGTCTTGTGTACTAGTGATTCCTCCTGTTTCCCTCTCCCTTCAGTGGGTCTATTCAGCACTACTATTAATGCAAGAAAATCAGTAACATTAGTCATCTTAAAAGGGTTATTACTCAAGATGATTTAAATTGTGAAAATGTCAGTAGAGCTTGCATGCTCCCTGCTAGAGATGCCATGATTTACACTCTCTGACACCATTTCGCTGTTCAGAAGGACCAGGGAAAAAAAGTAATGGCTTCTCTGTTGCACTGATCAGGATTCAGAACATGATATCGGCAGCAGCGCATCTTAAAAATGTCCTAGAATATGCCAAGGTTTCCATGTGTCAAAATCTCAGCCACACAGCTGACGCTGCCATCTCATCTGGTCTACGAAGGTTTCCAACTCTTAATGTGTTTAGCTGATTAACGGAACCATCCAGGATTGCTGCTTCATTTCTTTGCGCAGGAACATCACCTATATGGCAAAGTGATCTAAACTGGCCAGTGATCAAGTGAATTGGAAGCTCCAATATTTAAAGGCTTGTTTCCTTGAGATTTTGCTTAGAGAACTGACAGAGAGAGGAAACAGCTGCCTCTTGATGCTTCCTCTCCACTGTTCCCACTGCCTTTCAAAATACTGTATTTTTATTTTATTCACTTATTTAAATGTACTAGCCACCCAACTCCAGTGGATTCTATATACACCCCTACCCTGCTATTCAGGAAGCAGCAGAAACCAGAGAAGACTGCTCCTACTGTCAGATAGTGCAGTTACAACCATTTAATATGCATGCACATATCAGGTGGATAGCGAATTGGTCTGCTTAATAGTGCATAATTTTGAGGGTTATTTATTTATTTTTTAATGGAGTTTTCTACCAAAATGTTAATGTTCAGTTCATGGATCAGTGCAGACATTCCCATGAGCTTTCCTATTTATTTTTGCTACTTTCCTCTTTGAACTATGTAGGGGAAAAAACGGTCAGGTAGAAGTTCTAACATGTGCACTAAAGAGTAGGAAGTGTCTTCTGGATGTAAACATAAATGGCCATAAGACCTTAGGAGGTCCTCGGCAGCCGCCATGCCAAGCCTTTGCAGCATTTAGGAACTGGTCCAGGCGATGCTTGCATTGCAAAGCATCTCATGGAAAGATTTGTGCAGCCCTGCTAGAGAGTATCAGTAATAATATCTAGTGTTTATATAATGGATTTCCATTACTGGAAGCACCTCAGATAGATCTCTCACAACAGGCTCTCCAGGAAGCCTGTGAAGTCAGCTCAGAATGTTATAATTTGCAGATGGACAGTTATCAAGGAAACACAGATGTGTATTCATAGCCATCTAGGACTAAGGTGGGGGCCAATCCACAAGTGGCATAAAGTCACCCTCACTCCAGACACGTTATTGCAGGAGATCTCTGAAACTGTACCGCTGAAATTTAATGGCAAAATGGCAGGATTTAGCAGTGCTATTTTTGTTTGCTTGTTTGTTTGTTCCTTCTTAACAAAAAGCTCTAAAACAGATAAAATGTCTCCAAGGTAGGCAATAAATAAATTGTGCCAGATCAGAAGAAAGTTACCCCACTTCTGATGTAACGAGTTCCACACTTAGCAGAGACCTTAAGGAGAAACTATTGGGCTACACAGAGAGCCAGTTTAATGTAGTAGTTAAGGTGCCAAGCTAGAAACCGGGAGACCATGAAACCTCCTTAGGCACGAAGCCAGCTGGGTGACCTTGGGCCAGTCACACACTCTCAGCCCTAGGAAGCAGGCAATGGCAAACCACTTCTGAAATCTTGCCCAGAAAACTGCAGGAGCTAGTGCAGGCAGTTGTCAGGAGTCAACACTGACTCAAAGACATGCATACACAAACACACACAAAGGGAGGGCTACATTGACCCTTACATTGTGACTCACACTCTTTCTGTTTCTTGTGCACGCGTGTGCATACACACACACACACACGGCATTTATATGCTGCCCCAATCATAGATTTTGAATGAATAGTTCTCAACATTAAAGAATGTTCTCTAAAAACACAAGAGGGGATCTCTTTCATCCACAGATTCCCCCTCTGACTCTCCACTGTACTTTCTCACAGACCTCTATAAACTCCAGTCTTCATCTTCCCACAACAAAAATAACCCTCTGGGAAAAAAAAAAAGTTGTGGCAAAAGTTCTGCCTACCAATAGAGAGTGCAAAAAATATTAATTCCCCTCACCCCTATTATCCAGTGATCAGCCCGTATTTGTAGCAATACCAGAAGGTTACATTAGTAGTTTGATTAGAAAGATGGGAGGTACTCACTTGCCAGTAATGGTTTGTCTACTCATTGACCTTAAAGGAGGCAACATGAAAATCCAGAACCATGTGACGCGGTTGCAGGTGTCTCTCCCCCCCCCCCACTTTTTTTAATTGTTTGGTGGATTTGTGATGGAGAACTTTCCACAAAAAGGCTCAAGTGGACACCTTTCCCATTAAGAAACCCTTGAATGTCAGAGTTTCTCTCATTAACACAAGCCTAAGCTGCCTTTGCGGATGGTGTATCTGTGTGTGTGCATGCATGCATGCGTGCTATCACTTTTCAGAGTGAATGAGGCAAAAATTGAACTTCTAAATAGAGTGTGAAATAGCCTTAGAAATTATAGCTATCTTGGGCAGCTGTAATTAAATTGTCTTTATGGATTCCCCTCACAAAAAGCAAGGCCTAGCTAAGGAGGGGAGGAGGGCAAAAGATGCTTATATGGCAGCCTCATCAAGAATATTTGCAAAAGTGTTCCTGAGTTTCAGGAGTTAAGACAACATTTATTGGCATAAGATGAACAAACTCAAACTGTAACTGATCTTTATATAAGACAGAAGCTATGAAATGTTACTCAAGGACTTTCCTCAGCATTTAAAGGAAGTTCTTATGAAATACACTGTTGTATTATTCTTTCATAAGTCAAACTTGGAATTTCAGTGTGGATTGACTTGTTCTTTTTCTCCCTCCCTCCCAATGCCAGATGAACACCTCTCTCTTGGGAAGCATTGGAATGCTGAATTCTGCACCACAGCTCCGTTGTATGAAAACCTACCAGGTGCCTCCTGTCCAACCTGCATCTCCAGGTTCTCACAATGCCCTCAAACTGGTGAGGCTTATCTGGACTTCAAACCGCAATGTTATTCTTATGGCCCATGATGGCAAAGAACATCGATTTGTGGTGTAAAGTCAGGATGTGTGACAGAGGTTTCTTCCCCACCACCCCACTTGCTCTAAATACAGATGTGTTTTGAAATCTCTTATAAATTTATCTCCCTCTTTATGATCTTAATACCGGAGGGTCCTGAAGTACCCAAAGATTATGGAGCAGGATTGGCCAGAGTGCATGTGTTCTGCTTGCTTCTGCACAGCAGAGTACTGCTTCAGCCTGTTGTTCCTTTAGAGGAATACAGACCCACTCAGCAGTTAGACCATCATGCAGGATTTTTCTCTTCATCACTAGGAGAAAAAAAAACAGGACCCTGAGAATGTAACTTGGTTCTGGCTGGATTGGTGAGAATCTGAAACATCTTGATTCTATTGACTTTAAAAAAAAAATCATAACATTAAAGCAGGTCTGAATCTCATCATTCTGAGAATGCTAAAATCTACAGTCTAAATGAAAAAAAAAATCCTTTGAAGTGTTTTGAAACTTCATGTTTACCAAAGCTTATGTGTTTACACTGAAGTTCTTCCAAGTTCTTGGAAGATCATGGGAGTAAGGATGTTTTGTTCATTCCCCAAATTCTGAGAAGATCAGGAGACTTCCACAAGTCCCGTAGATATTCTGTTGGTATTTTTTACCTGAAGAGAAAAAGAGAGTCATATGTCACCTATGTATCTAGAATCTGAGATGCCTACTAAAGTCACTGGTTAATGGCATTAAAGACCCACTATATATTTCATGTTTGGGGTTTTGTAAGAAAATGTATAGAAAAGAAATCATTTTCTTTGTGTAACTTCTGTTCAAGATGGAAACAATGGCATACTCCCATTAGTGAGAAGGCAGTTTTATGTTTCTTATGTTGGGATTTTTTCTTCTTCAATGAAAATTTACACAAGAATAGGAAAGAGATAATATGGATATTGATATTTTCTTTGCTGCTAATATATGTATCAATATCAATATCTATACATCCACAAATGTTCTCTTTCATAACTTCCTCTTGCAAAGAAATGAAGACTCTTCATATTTACACCACTAAACTCTATTGTGACATAAACTAATTATGATACAGCAGATTTGCAGCATTTGGATTAATCAGAGATTTAAGAGCTAGAATTATTTAATAAAACATATCACTGCTCATTACTACAGGAAACATAAGGAAAAGTTAACCTTCAGGTCCATTTCAAGTGTTTTCCTTAATCAGAAAAAAACCATTAGATTGATTAATCTTCACATATCTCCTATGTCTTTATATCTTTATTTTTTTCCTGAAAAGCATTGTCTGTCCCTCCCCCTTTCCCACAGAGCTGAGGGGAAAAATGTAGAAAATTTATTGAAACGCTGGTGTGTTTAGGTATATGTATAGTATACGTGTACTTCTAGACTTGAATATGAGAATACAAAGAAAATGCTTTTAGTGCATGCTAATAAATTCAGCAAAAATGGCGCCTGTGGAAAATTCAGTGGCAGAATTTGTAGGATGGAGAAGCAAGAAGGACAACTGGATGCATTTTTTGGAGCGTGGCATCTGTATCATCTCCCCAGAAATTAATGTTGTCCATCATCGTTGCCTTCCATTTTACACGAGGATAGCACTGAAACAGTTCCTGGTACTTCGCATACATCGATATTCTTATTAAACAATTTAGTGATCTGTTTAATACTGTATATGTAACTAGCATTACATCAGCCATAATTAATTATCTACTTGAGAACTTAAAAAACAGTAAGAAATTGTTCAGAATGTTTTATAGCACTGTGACTTTGTTCTATTGATCTATGGTTTAGTGGAGATAAAAATTCAGTTGTAAATATCCAGTTTTTTTGAGGGAGGGGGTTAAAGAAACATATCACATGTGTGTACTTGATATTTATGAGCACTGCCCATGGGATATACAGAAATGTACGCCTTTGTTGAATCACAATATTACGATAGCATAAATGATATTATGAAGTATATTTAGGGATACTTCCTCTTAGATAACTTGCCTTTTTTTACATAATTTCCTTTGTTATCCATGCATACCTTTTACTTTGATTCCTGCAATCTATGGGGTCCCATTTATTTATATGGAATGATGCATGAGGAAAAAGCCAATTCTTTATTGCAAGGTTGGCTAATACTTTTTGAAGTAAACAAGATGCTTCAGAGACCACTTCCCAGCAGCAAGGAAAATTGGAGAGGCAGCCCTCCACATTTACAAAGCTGTTTGTATCATGGCACTTGTTCCATCTCAGCAGGAATCTCCAACTGGTGCTTCTGGGGTGTTTGGATTTCTAGCCCCCATCAACCCAGTAGCAAGGGATTGTGGGAGTTGTAGTTCAAGTGTCTTGAGGGCACTTGTGGCCTATCACTCGGGTAGGCCTATTTACTCTGGGCGGAATTCTATATTACGATAATCAGAGGGCTGCCAACAAAAAATTGCACCCTAGTATTGAGAGGGGTTTTGGTTTCCCTTGAAAACATGGTGTAAAAGTTACCATTGACATGACATTACTTGACAATAGCCAGTGACATAGGAAGAAAAGGCAAATGCATAACATTACGGCATCAGGATCTGGACGAAAATTGCTACCTATTACAAGGGGAGTATGGGGAACCAGCAAGTAATCCCCATTTTGATGCACTGCAGCCTCTCTGCCTTTATAACATGGAGGTCCGGCTGTGCAAAAGAAGTCCAAATCTTTTCAGCTTTGCCGCACTATTTATTTCAGCAGGGTTTGTGGAACAGTTCCATGCTTATTTTGAGTGGAAGATGCTTGGTTCCCATTTTTATGATTGGCACTGTAACTGTTCCTTTTACTATGTTTTGTTTTTCAAATAAAGAATTCCCAGCATTTTCAGATGTGATGGAAAAACACATCCTCCTGCTTTTATTAACAACACATTTGTTGTTGTTGTGGAGGATCTAAACATATTTTGAATATTACCATGGCATGGGAGGGACAAAACCTTATAGCTGTATGTTCTGCAGATGTGTAATGTGGGGTATTATGCCTGTTCAAATAGAATTGGGGCTTTTAGACCAATAGAAAGTCTGCCCTACACAAAGGAGTAATTTAACAGGAGAATCAATATTTATGTACTAGTAACTGCAACAATCCACTAGGCCCTGCACGGGAACCTTGCACAACTCCTTCACTGAAATGAATGGTGCTATGCTAGAGTAGCACTTAGTGGACTCTTGCCAGGAACTCTTAATTCCCCTAAGACTCCCCCTATGCAAATCTGCATTTGAGTGACTTTCTCAGCCCTCACTGTAAATTTCATCATAGCTTAGATCTCTCAGCATTGCAGTAAAATTTGTATTGTCATTCCAGTGTAAGCTTTTAGTGTTTTATTGATTTGTTTAGTACTGTATTTGGATTTGTCCTTGTAAATGTAGCAACGTACGTGGCTTCATTGGCAGTTTACAAGCAAAAGATGACATGATGAGACACCTGTATGAAAATGTTGTCACAACTGAAGTCACAGTGTATGGTAACTGATTAAAATGTCTGCCTCAAGAAACTACATGATTCCACTTATTGTTTGCTGCCTGGATAGAATGGACCTAAGCGGATAATTTCTCTGAAATAACACTAAATAGTACTTACATTCTAATTTTCACTATCCTACTTAGCAACACTGTCTGTTTGCATTAGCCCCATTGTAAATAAAGCTATCTTCTGCTCACCATGGATGAACTTACACTTGATGGCCAAAGAATGTAAATGGTTTTGTTTTCTTGATTTCAAGAATGGATAGACATGCTGAAGAACGGAAGAGATTAATCCTAGAAGAAAAGCAGGTAATGACAAGATCATAAGTATAAAATAATTAAAGCATCTCTTTTTCCAGCAGTAATGTATTGCTATGAAAGCTGGACGTTGAAAAACGAGAGACAAAAGATAGACCCCTTCAGATTATGGATCTGAAGACAATTACCAAAAGTACCATGTAGTACAAGAAGAACCAATCAATCAGTCCTGGACCAAACACAGACTGACTGCTCCCTTGAGGCAAAGATCAGCAAACAGAAACTCACATGCTTTGGGCAAGTGACGCAAGCAGATGATGGACTAAAAAAAAAAAATCATTATGCTTGGCAAGATTATGGAAAGGAGAAGGCAGTGAAAAAGGGGATGGATAGAATCAGGTCACAGAAATGTCCCTTGAAAAGCTACAAGTTTCCACAAGATTTTAATGACCTGTTATTAAATTTATAAAGCAATTTTCACTCAAGCTAGCTTACAACAATGCTGGGCACTTGTCCATGAAATCATCAGAACCTCAATGGTACCTAATACTATGTGGCAGTTAGAAGACATTAACGTGAATAAAAGTATCACACATATGTACTCAACATTGGCAAATGGCAGAGAAATTAGCAATCCCGGCATGACAAAAATCTACATTTGAGTGGATTGGGAGTATAAAAAACTTCTGGCCCACCAGGTCTTGCTGAACGTTCCCATTATTATTTTCCTGCAGTAGTGCTGGGAATTGCAACTTGGCAATTCCTGGGGGGTAGATTTTCCTCCATTGCACTGGATATTATGGTGGAGAGGAGTCAAACGTATTTATTTACTATACCACTCCACCAGGAAGAAGTAGGAATATTTTGTCACTCTTATCAACATAGCTTAAAGTGAGCTTACGTTCCACCAAATTCAGGTCTAGTCTTTCTCCACCAACTTTCTAGATGTCTCCTATTTTGCTTCATTTCCCAGAGCGCACTCTAAATGAAGAGGCACCCTGGCATCAGCAAACAAGGAGAGGTCACTGAGGAGCAATCTTGTCTACCAGTTTGGTCAGTCTTGTATTCTAAAGCTAAACCAGGCGCTCACGGGAACTGCTTTCCAGATTGCTAGTGAAAACCCCAAGGGTCTGTTGGACTCCATTTGAATCTCTAGGGCAGATCAGGCCCCCTACCCTGAAGGGAGTCAAAACAGCAGTTAACCTCAGGTGAACCGGGGAATGATCTCACTATGGCAAAGGACTCAAAACCACATCCTCTGTTTTCAGATCATACAACTGCTTTGAAGTGAAGACTAGATCAAATGACTGCCTACACGCATTGAACCAGAACTTACCTGGGTCAAGTCCATGGTTGCATGAAAGCCATGAAATACAGAACTCTACTTAAGTTTGGCTGGCCCCCACCCTTTTAACTTTATGAAAAGCACATAAGACCTGGTTTTTTCCCAAAGCGTTGGGATAGGGTGAGATTGTGGAGATGAACTTCTTGTCGGCTGCATGTGTAAGTTTAGCGATGGTGCCAGGTTCTGTTTTGTGGGTTTCAATACTTCTTCTAATTTTTTATTGTAAAGAGATGTTGTTTTATCTTTTGGTTCTGAGCCGCCTAGAGTTTGATACAAGATAAGCAGCTATATAAATATTTAAAATAAAGAAATAAATCCCACCCCAAGGCATAGAAATACCCTGAGATAAGATCTAGGAGACTAGGATGGGTTTCTGCCATTCAACAAGGTGGGCAATGCCAAAGGAGAATGCCTAGCTTGTCCTCCCAGCCCAACATCATAGCAGGTACTCATAACCTACTACCTCATGGTAGAACAGGGCCATGGCTGCCACCAACTTTCTCTGAAGAGCTTAACCACTCTTTCCTCCTTCCTTGGCATCATGGCTGATGCAAGACCTGAAATCCATGAAAGCAGTTCTGAGAAAGGGTGATCTATCACCTCACTCAAACAGGTTTTAGTCTATCAGATCTGCTTGGTCATACATGACATAGCTATGGATGAATGTGATTTTATTATACATAGACCTGGCATTTACCAACAGCAACCTGAAGGCAAATCCTCCAGCAATCCAGTCACCCAGTCTCTGGAATGAGGCTCCTGGGCCAGAAGTGGAGACTGGCATCAAATTGCTGATCAATGATTCAATTCCCTTGAAATTGCCTGCGTATCTTCCTCTACCATTACTATTAGAATCTGTTGCAGTTCCTCAGACTCCACCAAATCTTCCAAATTCATTTGCCCTTATCTCAGCCAACAGAGCCATCTCTAAAACCAATTCCAGTTCCCTACTCTTCTTTCCTTCCTACTTCTTCACTCCCATCTCATCTTTCACTTACCTAGATGAGCTGGTTCTCTGAATGGTACCCACCCAGGCCCACCTCCCCCACACTTCCATGTGTACACACACTCCCCAGACAACACTTCCCCTCTCTTTATTTGTTGGATTTATATCCTGCCTTTTCTCCAGGAGCTCAAAGAAACATCATTTCTCCATTTTGTTTACCTATTACAACACCCCTGTAAGGTACATCACCCACTGAATTTCCGTGGTTGAGGGTGGTCTTGAACCTTGACCACTGGCACCTACTGGTCTGTAAATGTAGCCCTTTTATATCTGGGATATTTCATTATGGCGGATGAAGGATTTGGCTGAGAAGGGGAAAAGTACTTGAAAGTGTACACTGGAGCAAATGACCCTTTTTTTTTTTTTTTAAGAAGTACAATTCCATCCTGAGAATTAATATATAATACATTAAAGATTGTGTTTGTGTGTGTGTGTGTGTGTGTGCACAATCATGTATTTAATTAATCCTCTTTAATACAAGAAGTTGATGTGCATTTCTGTTTCTCCTATCTCTTGCATAAGAAGCAAATCATTCAAATAAGAGTTTAGATAAGGACAGTTTCCCTTCCTCCAGAATACTGGATATAAATCTGCAATGTTTCTCAATTATTCTTCAAAGAGGAAGCTAACTCAGCTTTTTTTTTCCTTTGAATTTTTCGACTGGAGAAGGCGGAATGCTAAGGTAGGAAATGATGTCCTAGAGCAGACGGGAAGGGGAGGCATCCCATCGTCACATCGCTTTCGTAATTGCAATATGTCAAGTGCCTCTTGATTCTTAAGGTGTGTTCCTGTGTTAAAAGAACTGGTAGCCGAAACATTTTTTCCTTATAGGTAGAATTGGCTCAGGATCTGTTCTACCGCCGATCACATAAACTGATCAAATGCAGAAAGGGCATGACATTAACAGGAAGGTAAAGCCAGGCAGTGCTGAATGAACTTTCACCTTTCACCTCTTCAGCTGACAGACAGGACTGAGTGTTGAAAAAATCAATACTGAGGAGCCAGGAGAGAAATATTTCCAACCTCTAACTAGAGAATGTATTTTGACAAGGCCAAGATAATCCAAGCTGCACAGGAGAAAGAGAAAAAAAGACCCATTTTTAAAGCTTGACACTTCAAGGTGTTTTTGTACAATGGTTTAGAGAAAGCATCGATAACGTATAAATAACAAAGGTCAAAAAGAAAAGCAGAGAATTTCAGAAATTGCATGCATTGTCTCCCTTCTATTTACTTTACCAAATAAGATTGTGCCCAGCGCTGATTACCATACACGCAAGTGCGGGGACACGTACATTCAAGAATTAAGCGAGCCCGTGAATTCAAGGAGCTTTCTTCGGGGGGCAGGAAAACCAGGGGTGGCATGTGGACAGGATGCAGAAATCCTGTATTCTCCCTGAAGCACTTTCATTGTGTAGCACATCTGCCTTTATTGTACTCCAGGACGGTCATGTAAAAATGGACTAGGACAAGGAGCTAGGCATTCCCTTTGGAGAATGTGACGGTGTGTGTATACTGTATGTGTGTGTCTGTGTGTGTGTATACATATGCACACATGCACACACAGACATTCAAATGAAGCCAATTGTAGCCTCCTTTAGCCCCTCCTGTATTCTAAAAACTCTGCCAACTGCATGCTTGACTTAAATTGCATTGAGTAATGCTGGCTGGGTTTGCTCATGATGCTAAGCCAGGAGTTCCTAAAGTTTTTGCCATCACACCTCCCTTTAGTGTAATCTTAATCTCAACACCTCCCCTAAAAATCCAAACACCAAAAGGAACACTGAAAATCATACATGAAACTTTGGGAGAGGTGGATTTATTGCAACAATGTACAACTAAAAGGTTCTTCACACTTCCCCTGGACTCTGTCTGCACCTCCCCGAGGGAGGTACACCCCACAGTTTAGAAACTAAGCCATGATTTGTACTACTGTAACCATAACATTCAGAATAAACTAAAATTGGCTGGGTTTCTATGGCATACTAAGCCATAAACCGTAGTTACTAGCTGAATTCACACACCACATGATGCTGAAACTAATCAGTCTATACAACAGCTTGGTATGATATCATGGAGCAGCTATCCCTGGTTGGAATCTCCATGCATCATGCTTATAGATAGAACCTCCATGCATTCTCTTGTAGAGAGGTCATCATTTGATACGGCAGTCAACAAGCAAGGGACATGCGAGCCACTTCTTAGATTTCTTCTATCCTGCTTCCTTAGTTATGACACAATTCATCCCAAGTACTTTTTGAGCAAGTAGACGGGTATCACTCCAATGCTTTGCTGCTATAAGTAGCATCTCAAGTGATGGAAGGTGCATAGGTGATGCGCTGGCTGTATTTATTGCATCTCTTTCCCCCTACCTTTTATTGCTCGTCACCAATCTGTTCCCTTGTAGAAGTATGGAAGACTATT